ACTGGCTGAGCTCTGGCATTTCTCATTGGCTGAGCTGCGGCATTTCTCATTGGCTGAGCTGTGGCGTTTCTCATTGGCTGAGCTGTGGCGTTTCTCATTGGCTGAGCTGCGGCATTTCTCATTGGCTGAGCTGTGGCATTTCTCATTGGCTGAGCTGCAGCATTTCTCATTGGCTGAGCTGTGGTGTTTCTCATTGGCTGGGCAGTTGCTGGGTGAGGAGAGAAATCTTCCTTCAGTAGTAAAGCAGTTTCACTTCCTGTCTGAGATGCAAGCGCCCTCTTCCTGTTTGGTGTAATTGATCGGTGTGAGATAGCTCTAACCAACGCAGAACCTAAGTCCTTGAGACTTATTTAAAAAGAATTTCCACAAGCAGATGAGGGATTCATCACCATGCACGTGCACCCAAGTTTTCTGTTGCCTGTTCTGCGAATGGGAAGGACGTGCATCCTATACTCTTGGGAATTCCTCCTTTGGACAGTTCCCAAAGGGCTTCTAGATATCCAGCTTTCTTGGAGGCATAGCAAGCCCAAATCACAAATACGTATCTGATTCCCTCAGCCATTAGATCTAAATCTTCTGACACAAGAGATCCGTTTTGGGTGGGGTTCTTTACCCTCTATCAAATATTCCAGTGTGTTTCAGGGTGCAAACTCTTAGTGCCTCCCTTTCCCATCTCTAAAACAGGGGTAATATTGATGTCTACTTCACAGTTGACGTAATAATAGCACCTCATGGTTACTATGTTCTAGGTGCCATTTGTTTCAGTTTTCTCTCGCTGCATAACAAACGACCCCAGAATGTGATGGTTTAAGCAATCACTATTTTATTATCGGTTAGATTCTAGGGGCTGACTGGCCTCAGCAGGAACGTTTTTCTCCTTCATGGGATGTTGGCTGGGGCTGTCATCTTTAATTCGTCACACTACCCTAGTAATTTTACACGCGTGAACTCCATCAATCCTCAAACGATCTCACCATGTCGCCATCATTATTACATCATTTTAAAGACCAGGTTGGGAGACACAGGGTGGTCTCCTGTCACAGCAGCCCTGCTGTTCTGTCATCGTCCAGCAGAGGGCACCACACACCCAGTCGTCGCCCCAGGGGACGTCGCCCACCTCCGGTTCCTAACATCCTCCCAGCCAGGGCTTAAGCTTACCACGTGCCCCGGGCTGTGCTGAACGCTCTGATGAACGATCACACCTGAACTTCACAATAACGTCCCAAAGTTGAGTTTTACAGAGGAGGACCATTGAGGCTCAGGGAGGTCAGGGCCAAGGTGGCACCCACAGCCAGTGGTGGCGTGGCACTCGGTTGAGGACAGTCTGATCCCAAACGTTGACCAGTGCACGGTCTTTGGGGGAGACAAGACCTCATAAGCCACATGGGAAGAGGTTTTGCCTTTGCTGTGTGGGTGGTCTGCCTTCCCATTCACCCCTCATATAAGGAGGTACTGACCTGACTGTCGCCGTGTAGCAGGAGGTGCCTCCCGCAGGGGACGTGCCCCCATCCCAGAGACATCAAGGCGGCCTGTGACTTGCCTTGGTCCACGTTGTGTGAAGGGACACGCTGAGTGCCCTGTGCGAGCAGAAACTGTGACAGCTGCTTGGAGGTTTGGCCACCGTCCTGCCACCACCAGAAGAACACACCCAAACGGGGGCTGCCCCTTTGGCTTCTAGACTGAGGAAGAGCCGCACCCACTGCACTGACGTGTCATAACACGCGTGAGAAATAAACCTTTGTTGTGGCTCCCAGTGACACCGACAGTCACAGCTCTCCAGGTGGGCAGCGAGTGGGGATCCGGAAGCTGCCCCACACCCCACCGTGTCTCAGCAGGTGGCAAGCCACTCGTCGCTCACCCAGTCTGCAAGTCAGCGAGGGAGGCGCTCGAGTTGATAAACCAGAGCGGACTCAGAGCTGTTTCTATAGCAACCGCATTCACCCACTTTCGCGGCAGCGGGCTTTCCGGAAGGGCGGGGAGAGGAGGCTGCACCCAGAGGGATGGGAATTGCTGGGCTTAAGGGGTAAGGCTTTGAAACCCAGTAGATTCGGGTTCAAATCCCACACTCAGCTATTCTGTGATGTTGGGGAAGCCTTTAAACTTCCCTGAACCTCAATAAAACGGGGATCGCAGTCGCTCTGTTGTAGGGGTGCTGCACGGGTTCCAGGAGATCAGGCGTGGGACGCGCTGGTGTGGCCCATTCTGCAGCCTATGCGTCGTTAGGAACGGTTCCCCTGGTGACAGCCGGTGCCAACCTGCCAGCCGTGGGAGGAGGCATCTTAGAAAAGCATTCCCAGCTCTCTGTAGGGTCACGCCCAGCCGATGCCCCATGGAGAAGAGATGAGCCATCTTGTCGAGCGCTGCCCCAATTACATTTGTGTACAAAATAAATGTTGATTTAAGGCACTCAGTTTTGGGGTGTTTTGTTATACAGCAATGGATGGCCAGAATGTGTATGAAATACTGTTTACTGCTGACCCACAAAGTTACCCCCTGCCCCTCTTTCTTCCTAACAGAACCTGGATTTTGTTCAGGTATCAGACAGAGCTTCCTTGATCTTAAGCAGCCCCACCCTTGGTTCAGAGGGTATCCGTGTGACCCAGTACTGGCCAAAGAGACATAAAAGGAGATCTGCTGGGGGCTTCTGGGAAAAACGTTCCCACCCTTCAGGAGGAGAAATTTCCTGTTTTCTCCTTTCCCCTGCTTCCCTGTCTTTGAACGTGGTGTGTGAACGTGATGTCTGGAGCTGCTGCAGCCAGCTTGTGACTATGAGGAGAGGCCAGGAAAAAGGCAGACTCTGAAATGGACATTGTTGTGCTGCTAAATCAACCCCAGAAACTCCCACTGCTTGACTTCTTCCTGTGTTTAGGCCACTATTAGCTGGATCTTCTGTGACTTGTTTCTGAAAATCTTCCCAATGATGCACTGGGTTTCTTTTTTGCCCTGTAATGAATGTCTGCTGTAATTTCACTGTCTCACTGTCCCCTGGATCTAGACAGGATAGAAACTATAGACTCCTGTGCAGCCAGAAGGTGCTGTTCAGAAAAGAAGGAATTTGCCCTTGGGTCCATTACATACATTTTACCTCTTAGCCTCCAGCCAAATCCTTACACGTGTGAGCGTGTAATTCTCCACACGGGGGTGGAGAATGGAGAAAATCCACTATCATGTTGCCTACGCATGGGTGGTTTTAATTTTTATGAGTTTGGCAGACACTGAGCCAGGAGGTGATAAAGATCTCTGCGGTGGTTTTACAACGTGTCTACAAATTGTCTGATGCTCTCCCTTCAAGAGGTGGAGCTTCCCTCTATTTCCCTTGAGTGAGGTCTGGACTTAGACGCACTTCTTTTTTTTTTTTTTTTTTTTTTTTGAGGAAGATTAGCCCTGAGCTAACTTCTGCCAATCCTCCTCTTCTTGCTGAGGAAGACTGGCCCTGAGCTAACATAAGTGCCCATCTTCTTCTACTTTATATGTGGGACGCCTACCACAGCGTGGCTTGATGAGCGGTGCCATGTCTACACCCGGGATGCGAACCGGCGACCCCGGGGCCGCTGAAGCAGAACGTGTGAACTTAACTGCTGTGCCACCAGGCCAGCCCCAGACTCACTTCTAACAAATGGAATATGGCAGAAGGGGCAGTGTGTGATTTCTGAGACTAGGTCATATAAGGCATCGTGGCCCCCTTGCTCGCTCGCTCTCTCTGCGATCACTCACTCTTGGGGGAAGCCGGCTGCCGTGTTGTGAGGACACTCAAGCAGCCATGTGGGGAGGCCCACGTGGTGACCACCTGAGGCCTCCAGCCAACAGCCATTGGAATCAGCCATCTCGGAAACATGCCCTCCGCCCCTGACAAGTCTTCAGATGACAGCAGCCCCAGCTGACATCAGGCTGTGACCTTAAGAGAGACCTGGAGCCAGAACCACTCAGCTAAGCTGCTCCCCAATTCCTGACCCTCAGAAACTGTGAGATAATAACTGTTTGTTGGTGTTTTGTTTTGTTTTGCTTTGTTTTGAGGAATATTAGCCCTGAGCTAACATCCGCCACCAATCCTCCTCTTTTTGCTGAGGAAGCCTGGCCCTGAGCTAACATCTGTGCCCATCTTCCTCTACTTTATATGTGGGACGCCTACCACAGCATGGCTTGACAAGCGGTGCCATGTCTGCACCCGGGATCCGAACCGGCGAACCCCAGGCCCCCGAGAAGCGGAACGTGCGCACTTAACCACTGCGCCACTGGGCTGGTCCCTGTTTCCTGTTTTAAGCTGCTGGGTTTCAGGGCAGTTTCCAACCTAGCCATGCGTGATGCATTCACACTCATTAGGGTGTCCCGCCCCAGTTCCTGGGCAATATGCTCTGTTACTTTTGTGTCTCGGGAGCAAAAGTTAAGTCGATTATCCTCCTTGGGGATAGACAATCTGCCATCCTCAGTCCTTTAGCTCGTGTCATTATTTTCCCCTTGATCTCTAATCACCCCCAAAGATTTCCCACCTGCCCTTCATGAGACCGTCAGCAACTGGACGCCCAGCTGGAGTCAGTGGTGGCTGGAGAAGCTGCAAATCCAACCCACGACCATGACGTTGACCAGACCCCTCAGAGAAACGTGATTCCGAGTCCCAGGGCCAGAGCTGGGGACGATGGAGTTTTACACAATGTTGGACGGACTTTCTTTTGCTCCTCAAACATGATTGGGCTGAGCCTGGGATGTCGCTGAGGGATGGGAAAGGAAGAGGTGCATGACTGGAGTAAACAGAAATGTTTCCTGTCCCGCCACCCCCCTCACCTGCCCCAGTTCAGGCGACTCGATTAGTTACTTACATACCCGAGTGTCAGCGTGCACACCTCCGAGCCGAGGAGGCCCATGTCCACCGGGATCTCTCGTGGCTCCTTCTGCTAACTCTGCTTCTTCTGGGGAAGATGGCTGGAGGCAGAAGCGACATTAAAATATTGAAAACCAGTATGCCCGGGACCCGACCGTGGGAGGAGTGCGGGCTGAAATGCCCGTTAGAGCAGGGAACAGGGATCCAGGCGGTCCATCCGTCTTGACTGCGGGGTATTCCTGGTCCCAAATTGCAAAGACACTGCTGCTCTGGGCCTGAGAGGGCTCGGCTGGGCCGAGGCTTGCGCTGGGGAGATGATGCTGGGGTGGGGGCTGAGGGCCCGGGTGGGGGGCACGGACACTGAAGCTGTAAAGGACACCAGGTGTGACTCAGTGACAGGGCCGTCCCACGGTGTCCCGGATGAACGTCAGCCATGACAGGTGGGGCATCTGTGGCCCACTCTCGGACACTCCCCTCCCCCACTGCCCAGAGAGACCAGGCTGGATGCTTAATTTGCTTTACTGAAGGCCCCAGGTGACACTTGTGCACAGGCCAGGAGCCTACATCACGGGGGGAAGTCACACGCTGGTCCTCCCCACCCTGGGGCAGCTCCGGAGGCCCGTCGGCCCCAGGGAGGAGGCGGCATCCTCCTCAGCCCAGGTCCACCCTGGCCTGCTCCCAGGAGCTCGTCCCTGTCCCAGGGAGGTCCCCGAAGCCGGGAAGGGGCCCCTCCGAGCACGGCCTGCAGCAGCTCCCATGTCTGCTCTGCACCCGAGTCCCAAGGGGGGGCCTGGACATCCAGTGGGGCCATCAGGACACGCCCAGGCCCTGGGCCTTCCTTAGATGTGCAGGGCGGCCCTCCTGGCACAATGGGCCGTCACCTTCGGGATGGGGACTTGGACGCAGACACACAGCCCCAGGACGAGAGGACTTGGGGGGCGTCCAGATGAGGTGGCTGTTTGGGGAAAACATCGAGTTCGGCGGAGAGGGCCCATGCCCACGACCCCACCCGGACATGGACAGGACACAGAAGCGTCCGCACTGGGGCCAGTGGGTGCTGAGCCCCCACCCACTGACAGCGCCGGGACAGGTTACCAGGGTGGTGGACTCGAGGGCTGGGCTGTGGGTCCCTCCAGGGACATTTCTTGTCCTCTAAAGACAGACCTGGGCAGCCCCCACACTGCCTGCAGCAGCCCTGCCCTCAGGGCCCCCTCTGGCGTTTGGCTCACCCAGAGGGTGAACCGGGGACCCTTATGGTCTTAAGTCAGGGGCCGCAAGGCCAGCGCGGAAGGGCTGGTCAGCCCATGGTCAGGGGACAGCTGGTGGGACGACCGAGGGGAGCCACAGGCCTGCGTGCGGGAGGGGCGCTGCCCGGCCCTGCAGAGAGAAGCCAGAACTCTGGGTGTGAACTGCCCCGAGTTGAAAATCTTGGCAAATCACTGGGATTTTTGGAAAACACTGCCATCTGAGTGGCAGCTTAAGCCAGTGGACACCAGCAGGTGGCCTTGGCCTGAGGAGCTGGCTCATTAGCACCAGCTGCACCTGAGGAGAGCTCGGCAGCCTCGTCCTCCCCTTTCTCCTCCCCCTCCCTGCTCCTGGTGCCCGGTCCCCCTCTACCCCTCCTCCACCTCTCCTCTCCCCTCCCCTCGGAGGAGCAGCCCCCTCTCCCTCACAGACTTGTCTTTCTGGAATCATCTCCTCCCCCAGGAAGGCAGGTGCAGCCTTCAGAGCTCAGCGACACTCCAACATCCCCTGCAGGGCCAGGTGGCCGAGCCTCCATCACAGACCCCAGGGCCCGTCAGATTGGGGTGGGGGGCAGTGACCTACAGACGCTGGCCAGAAGCACGTGTGTGGAACGATGAAGGGGAGGGGATATGGAGAACCAGGAAGAACTCACTGGCCCCGCTGGCCTCCCAGGCGCCCGACGTCCATGGACACTCTCCCCCTTGTGCTAACCCGGGGCCCAAAGCCCAGCTGTCTGGGGACCCTGAGACACTGACCCATCACTGGGGCTGCTGCCTCCGGGGGACGAGTTTTTCGCTCCTTCTTCCATCGGGACCGCGCGCCACCTGCAGTGGAGGGACCCCAAGGTGAGGTGAGCCCAGCGGAGGGCGCAGCGGTGCACGGAGCACGGATAAGCGGGAGGCTCCCTGGAGGGCTGGCGGAGGGATTACCCAGGAGGCGCAGGGGTTGGCTGCCTCCGTGTCCCCAGCGGCACTGGGGAAGCGGCCTCCTGCCCCCACGAGACTTCTTCCTCTCAAAGGCCTTCTCAGGCTCAGCTGAGGTGGAAATACCTTCCAGAAGCTTCCCGCCGCCCTCGGCCTTCCTCAGGACCATGGCATCCACCCGGCAGCCTGCCTCCTCTGCCTGCACGTGGGTTCCCGAAGCCTCCTTGGCCATGACGGAGGAGCCCTTGGGAAGGGCATCATCTTTTTGGTCTTTCTGGTCGCTCAAGCCCAGTGACTCTGCTGCAGGAGCGACTTTCAACGTCTCCTCCCGGTTTTGGAGTCTGACGCGCTCCTCTCGGCCACCATGGCCAGAACGCGGGGTTCTCCATCCCCCCTCTGCGTCTTGGTTGTTGCGTTCCTGGACCCGCCTTGGATGCATCGCTGCCCTTGGGCATCTCATCAGATCCGTCCCTCGTGGCCAAGAGAGCCACCATGTCGGGGTGCAGCCGCCGGCCTCTGTGTCAATCTCACCAAATCTGGGGGCCCTTTCTCCATCTCCTCCTTCTTGGCTCTGTCCGTCACCATCACCAGGGCCAAGAGCTCCGGGGGACCCTCTGCCTTGTCCCTGTTGCCCTGGAGGGCCCACTGCTTCTTAACTTCTTGTTGCTTTTGGCTGTCTGAACATCGGGGACAGCACATTGTCATTGTCATCTGCGCCCGAGTCCTCCTCCTCCACCTCTGCCATCTCGATGGCCCGGCTCTCGATGGAAGAGTCCTTGGAATTGCTCTTTGCAGAGGTAAACGCCCGCCCTGCTCTGCCGCTCTTCTTGCCCTTCGGGGTCAACCTCTTGCCTCTGGCTCTGTTTCTGCAGCCCCGATGGCCCCTCCCAGCCTTGCCGGCTGCACCAGGAGGGAGCCAGCTTTCCAGGCCGCCTGCTCCGACCCTGGGGCCTCAGTCGCCGAAGTACGAGGGATGGACGTGTCCCCAGTGTCCCCAGCCACTGTGGCCTGAGTGGGCCTTTCGTCCAGCAGCAGGCATTCCATCTGTCTCAGGATTGTCCTCTGCAGTCCTTGCACAGAACCTTCCAGACACCGGCCTGGCCCAGGATCTCCCTGGGGATGGCGGCGCGATTAACGTCCTCCACGGGCTCCACCAGGGCGGCCTCGGCCTCCTCGTTCCTCACGGCCCGCGTGTTCCGCAGCCTGCACGCGCCCAGGGCCGGGAAGGCCGGCTGCAGGACAGCCTCACTGGCAGCCTGCCCCCTTGGGATGCCGGTGACCAGCGGGGCCCTGTGCACGTCCCCGTCCAGCCCCCGGCACCAGGCCCACAAAAGGCTCACGGCCACAGGGCCGCCGGTCGCGGGGCAGGAGGGGGACAGAGGCGGACCTGGGCTGCATCGCGTGGTGCCAATCCCCCCCTGGAGCAGCGCCCAGGGCTCAGAGTTCAGGTGAAGGTGGCGAGGCCAGGACTCGGGGCTCCACACTCCCGCTGCTTCCAGCTGGCTCATGCAGCCGCCCTTCCCCAGGTCCCATTCCCAGGGCTGTCGGGGATCCCGCAGGGGGGGCGTACGTGTCAGGTCCAGGATGCCACCGGCCTGGCTCTGAGGCCATCGGGATGGAGCTCTCTAGGAGCAGTGGCTCCCTCCCCAGAGCTGCTGGGGATCCCCAAGTCACTGCTCCCCCTCCCGCTGGGGCCAAATGAGAGCGCCCCCCTCCCCTTCACCCTCGGGGTCTCTCTGCGCCAACGTCAGAGTAGGCAGCAGCTTTGGCTCCTGGGCACGGGCATCCCTCCCCCCTCATTGGCTACTCTGTTTCCATGGCAACCATTGTTGCCAGGGGCTCAGCATTTGTTTTAATGCAAATGGGAATGCGCACCTGTGGGTTCCCGGGCTCTCTCCTGACTCAGGGAGGAGGCAGGCCTCCTGCAGCACTAGGTCTCGCTCATTTGCAGGGGCCCAGGCTGCACTCCAGGAGGGACCAGGGGTTACTCCAGGTCCAGGGCGAGTCTAACCTTTAGGGCCAGGGAAGGGGGTCTGGAGTGAAGCTGAGGCTGGGCGGGGGTGCAAGCGGCAGGTCCATGTCTGGGCAGGGCTGAGGGGACTAGGAGGCCGGGTGAGATGGAGGCGGAGTGGGGATGGTGCAGCGGGCCAGGCCTGGTGCAGGGGCACGACCCCTATGTGGGTCCCATAGACCTTTGGGTGGCCGCTGCTAGCGGGACCGCGGTGGCACTGAGTGGGCAGGTCTGCCCACGGGAGGGGCTTCGGGCTTCCAGAGGAGCCCCTGGGACACGGCAAAGATCATACCATAGTGACCCCCAGGAGGCCACTTTAATGACATCTCAGTAACTGCCCCCTGGACACCCAGCGCTGCCACAGTATGTTCCAGGGCTGCACCTCATGATGCCTCTGGAGCTGGCCCCTTTGTGTCCCAGGCCTGCCCCTCCCCTCCTCTCCTCTTCCCTCCCCCTTGTGATCTGGGCGCACTGTGATGGTGACTCGGGCTCTGGGATGAGCCCCAGGTGATGACCTTTGTTCATCCCCTCCTTCTGTCTGGGCGAAATATCAGAGAAAATCAGCGGTTTCCTCCTCCGCACCCACCTGGCGGCTGAGCTGCTGGTCTGCGCAAGCGCGGGTCTGCCCTGCCAACGCGGCGACTGAGAACTCGCCTGCCAATCGGTTGGCTCTGGGGCCGGTGAGACCAGCTTTACTGGTGCCCTGTTGGCAAGAGACTCGGGGCCCCAGGAGTGAGGCAAGAAGCCTCAGGAACCTATGGCAAGTGATGAGAAATCAAGGAGACCCTTTCCCTGCCCCCCCCGCGCCCTGCCCCAGCCCTTGGAGCCAGAGGTACTGTCTGGCAGAGTGCTGAGAAGCCAGAGGTACCGCCTGGCAGGGCACCCTTCCCTTGGAGGGGGCTTGGAGAATGCTTTGGGGGGTAGATTACACAGGGCCCTTTGGATTCCACTTGCAGAAACCCCAGTTACCCTGGTATGAGCAGCAAAGGGAATTCATTGGCTCACGTTAATAGAAAGTTCAGGTATGGCTTGGCTTCAGGCATGGCTGGTTCCAGGACCCCTTCATTCATCTATTCAGTTAAGGACCCAGGGCTGACTCCCATTGGATCATCTGAGTCATGTGCCTGCTTGTGCACCAATCACAGTGACTGCAGAGGAAATGAGTGCTCTGATTGGCCAGGCTCAGAGGGGTGAGGGTTAGTGATTCTCACCGGAACCACCTGGAATGAGGTGGGGGAGGGGGTTCCCCAAAGAGAGAGGGAGGTGAATCACTCAGAAAAGGGGGGGACACTGGGCTGGAAAGCAGGTTCTGTCCCCAGGGGATGAAGGGCAGTAGTGAGACACTGCACTCGGATCGGGGAGGGACTCCCTTCTCGGCTGCGCAGCATCCCTGGATCCCTGGGGTGGGGGGGAGAATTCACCCGGTGTGATGCCCACTTGCTTAGCTTCATTCCTTCGTTGGGTGTTTCGCTAGCGTCTGTGGTGGGCCCGGCCTATGCAGTCTCTGGGGACATAGCGAGGCCTGAGGCGGCCCCACCTCCTGGACCCGCAGCCTCAGTGACCGGAAGTGGGTGCTGGGAGGGAAGGGCCCGGGGTCTCCGGGGAGGGGGGTTGGAAGGGCTGGAGCTGATTCTGGATCAGGGCGGGCTTCCCAAAGGACGTGACGTCGATCTGCATCAGGAGGGAGGAGGTGACCCTCTCTGGGGTAGGGAAAGGGAAGAGGCACTTTTGAGGCAGTTCCTGTGCAAAGACCCCGTGGCTGGATGGATGACCAGATATCTGAAGTGCTGAGGGTCATAGGGAGTGGCTGGGGGGGGGGGGGGGGGGGGAAGTGGCAGGGCCAGGCCCACCGGGACTTGTGGGTTGGTGACACAAGGATGTGACCAAGGAGGTGAAGGCTGTGGGGTCGCCAAGGCCAGAGATGGAAGCTTCTCTGCAGTTTAGGCACTGTGTGACACTGGGAAAGTTAAACAACCTCTCTGAGCCTCATTTTCCTCTTATACAAGCTGCCCGCAGAGTTGCTGCGTTGAGTCCGGCACGTGGAGGTTGTCGCGCAGGTCCTGGGGCGCGGCGGGGCTTTAAGGAGCGGGTTTTCACGTTAAACATCCTCCTTATTGTCATAATTTGTCGTGGGCGGGGCAGGCTGAGGGCCGCATAGGGATTTGCTGGGTCAGGGCGCCCTCTGGTGGGCACCGGGAGCCACAGCCCAGGGAAGAAAGATTGGAGCCGAGGTTTAAATTTTAAAGAGAGCCTTCCTTCCTTCCTCTCTCCCTATCCCCCGCCCCCGCCTTTCCTTCCTTTCTTCCTTCCACACACATCTTCCCAGGACCTGCTCCCGCCCCGCTGGGGACCCAGCGATGACCAAGACAGCCCAGGCCCTGCGCTCCTGGGGTTCATAGCCCCCGGGGTGGGTGGGATGCAAGAACCCCTCCTGAGTAGCACTTAACTCGGGAGCCAGTTGCTTTGGGCTGGAGAGACGCCTGGGAGGCGGGCAGACCACCGCGTGCAGGGCCTGGAGGGCCGCGGTGAGGAGCCCGTGCTTTCTCCGAGGGCACTGGGGAGCCACAGACAGGCTTAGAGTAGGGGAGAGGCGGGGTCAAGTTTGTGATGTCTTATGGAGGACGAATGGGAAGGGCGAGAGTGGGACTGGATGAGGGAGGCCGGGGTGGGGCAGGCTTGGGGGAGAGCAGGAGGGGGGGGCGCCAGGGCGCACCTCCTCGTTTGAAGGGGGGAGGCCCCCTCCCGCCCATCAAGGTGGTCCCCAGTTTTGCAGTCTGATGGGGGCTCCCGGTCACACACCTCCAGGCCCCCAGCCCCGTGTCCACATGCAGAGGTCCCCATGGCGGCTGCGCCCCTTCGGCCCGGGGGTGGGGTCGGGGGCGGTGTCCGGGCTCCCTGTCCCTCAGGGCGGGTTCAGGTTGGCCCTGGTGGGCCGGAGGGAGAATCTGGCGACCACAAGGGGGGGCTTTGCCCCTCCATGGTCAGAATGACCTCCTGGGTCCCCCAGGGAGGTGAGAGTGGGTGAGGAGTGGGGGGCGCTGGGTCCCTGGGCGCGTGTCTGGGGGTCTCCCTGTGCGGTCGGTGTTTTGTTCCGGTGCCTGGAGATGAGGATGTGGGCGTTTCTCTGTGGGGCGGAGGGGGGTGTAGTGTGTGTGCTTTGTGAGGGTCTGTGTGGGTGGAGGTGGGGCGAGTCTCCGGGTGGGTGTGAACCTGTGTGTGTGCGCATGTGTCAGTGATAGAGGGACTCCGTGTGTGTCAATGTCAGTCTCTGTGTGTGAGCACGTGTGTGTGTGATGGGAGTCTCTGTGTGGATAAATGTGTGTGAGTGTGTGCGAGTGTCTTGTGCGCGTGTGGGTTTCTGTGTCGTCTGTGTGTGTGTGTCCGGGTGTGTGATTGTGACACGGGCTGACACGAGCCTGAAGCCACACCTTGAACCTCCATCACCAGCCCCCGCAGTCCCGGAGGTGAAACAGATCTGATCCCCGCGGAGCCCGGCTCGGCTCCCCCCCCCCCAAGTCCCTGCCCCTCCCGGGGATGCATCAGGAACGGCGGGGAGGGAGGAGGGGGGATCCCGGCGGCGCGCGAGGACCGAGGAGGGAGCGTGGGCCCCACGGGCTGCAGCCCCCGCGGTCCCCACCAGGGGGCGCTCCGGGGACGGCTGGTTAGAGCCTCGCGTTGGGTCGATGGCGCTTCCCGAGCTCGCAGGTGCGCCGGGTGCGGCCGGATTCAGCTCCGAAGTGGGGAGTGGGGGACACAACAGTGACAGCAAGAGCGACTATAACTATTATTTATACATCTCTTCTTACTTACCACACGTGCAATCATTGTTTTAACGCAAGTTTAGGCGCTCTTCTTGTGAACATTTTACAGACGGGGAAACTGAGTCAGGGTCACACAGCGCTGGAATCGGACCCCAGGCGGTCCAGCGTGACTCGAATCACGTCCATGTGACCCCAGAGTCTGTGACTGGCCCCCCTCTTTGCTGTCTCCCCAAAGTCTGGGCAAGAGGAAAGCCAGATGTGGAGGAGCGCGGGCCAGGCTGAGCTGGGGCAGATCAGGAGGGGTCTGAGGCGCCTGGATGGGCACAGTGCACCGTTCTGGGGCCCGCAGTGGTCTGTCCACAACGTCCTCTCGCCGCAATCACGGTCTGGGGGTGGGGGCGGGTCTGGAAGCGACGGCCGCTGATTAATAACCTGAGTCAGACCGCAGCGCTGCGGGGCTCGCTGGGCGCCGGGCCCCCTCTAAGCGCGAGCGCGCCGCAGCCTCGCCCACCGTCCCGAAGACGCCGAGAGAACACGATCCCCATTTTCAGGTGCGTAAATGGAGACACAGCGAGGTCAGTAACCAGCCCGAGGTCTTAAGGGGCAGCGAAGGGGCGGGGGGGGAGGTTGGGGGAGAGGGTGGCAGTGCGCCCAGGCAGCTCCACTCCAAACACCCCTCTCCCCACCGCACCGTGTCTGCATCTCTTGTCAACACCTTCCCCCCAGCCATCTCCCC